AAGCTGGCACATGATACCACGCACCGTACCAGCTGCTGTTTGTGCTGATGCTGCCTCCCTCAGACAACAGCAGATGTTAAGACTTGTCCTGCATTCTCTCTGAGCACCATGTAGACCAAGTAGAAGAGAAACTGAGCACATACTGAGGATCGAGGAAGGCGAGGTAGAATGCCTTAGGAGACCAAATGACTGTAGTGACTGCGAGAACTTGATGGACATCTACTTCACCACCTTAAAAATGTTCTTCAGATGACATTAATGTATCTTAGTGATGTGCACTCCACTTATAATCTGACATCCCTTTAGTTTTATTTCAACGCGAGGGGTCTTGAGTACTCAATTAGGCAAAATCTGTGTTTCTATTTTGTAAAGGGCAAGTAGATGACAGTATGTTAATTACAGCAACGCATTTTGGTTGAACATTAAGATTTGACATCAGAACATTTTCACTTACAACACAAATATTTAATTCAGTTTCAGGGCAAGTGGAATAAGACTGATTTAGTCTGATTGACCCAAAACCAACAATAGTAATGACAAGAAAAACAGAAACGTGATGCTGATTAAACCTGCATTAATGGTTCTGTGTAGACAAGAAAATAGAAAAGCACAGAAAGCCTCTAGTGTGGATGCAGATACCTGATTGAGGGTCGTGATGTTCTGAACACCACAGACTTACGGAGTGAGTACTGTAGACTGTCCAGGTCTTGTTTGCAGTCCTCCAGAGTGCTGAAGGTGAATAAAATATGGCTAAAATCCTTATTTTTATTATCTTTGCAGGTGTCAAACTGGCAGAGAAAATTAGTGACTCATAGGGCAAAGGAATAAAACAGTCGTATCAAACTTTCTTTGAACTTTGTTGAACAGTTTTAACTGAAATTAAGCTGCAAGTCTCTACCAGCTTTGCACATCCACAGATTGTAATTTTTACCCATTCTTCTTTCCAAACTAGGTCCACTTTACTCTTTTTTTGGATGATAGATTGAGCAGTGCTCTTTGAGATGTTTAAAACTTGGGGTTTGTTTTTATAACCTAACCCTGCTTTAAACTTCTCCACACTTTCATCCCTAACCCCCTGAGATGTGTTCCTCAGTCTTGGTGCTGTTTGTTCACTAATGTTCTCTCACAGACATCTGAGGCCTTCACAGCTGGATTCATGCTGGGTATCAGGGCTGTATGACTAAAGGAAGCTTAATAAATAATCACATTTGTCAAACTTTTATTTGTAAAACATTTTAAACACCCTGTAGTATTTTCCTTCCACTTCACAAGTCCACAGTACTTTGTGTTGGTTTATCATGATATCCTAAACAAATACAGGTTTGTGGTAGTAATATGACAAAATGTGAGTTTTCTCCTGGGAACGCTCCCATGGACGCCATTTTGCCCAGTCTCTTTTTTATTGTTAAATCATGAACTCTGACCTTAACTGAGGCAAGTGAGGCGGGCAGTTCTGTAGATGCTGTTCTGGTTTTGTGACCTCCTGGATGAGTCATCGGTGCAATCTCGGAGTAATTTTGTTTGGGAAGGTTCTCCTCTGTTCCAGGTTTTCTCCATTTGTGGACAGAGCTGGACTGAGTAACTGTTGGGAATCATTTTTATCTTTAAGGCTAATATCTCATAATTAGCATCACGTATTTGTATTTTATACTTCTTCTCTAAGGAAATTGTCTCACTATTGAAAGCACCAGAAGGTAAACATGACTGTAAATTTCGTGGTTGGAGAAGCTCTCTTTCTGCCTCTTTACGCAAGTCTAACCAGGGCGCAAGAGGTGGTTGTCATGGCGATGGGTGAAGAGGCGTCTCCAAATAAGGAGATGCGAAGAAAGTTGCAGAAGAAGAAACGTGAGCCCACATCAGACCTAAGGCCACCCTAAACTGTTTTGACCAATCAGAGAGACATGCTGTGGATGCTCGCATGTCTGCGA